AGCTGCTGCAGTCGCGCGAGGAGGGGGTGAGTGACGCAGCGGTGGCGGCAGTGAGCAGCCTGCTGGCGGAGGAGGGCAACCGCAGGGTGGCAGCAGGGATGGGCGCCACGGGGCTGCTAGCGGAGGTCGTAAGGGAGGAGAGGAAGGCGCCGCGTGCGCGCAAGGATGCGCTGATCGGCCTCTTCAACCTGAGCATCGACCCGCACACACGCGAGGCTGTGCTGCTCAGGCACGACCTTGTCCCGTGCGTGCTCGCACTCCTGTCGGACCCTGACTGCAGCCCTGCACATATGCCGGCAGCTGCGCTGCTGTCTGTGATGGTGCGCATGCCTGCAGTGTGCCATGTGGTGGAGGGCAACGATGGAGTGCCGGTGCTGGTGCAAGCGCTGGAGGACGGTGAAACAGCAATGCAGGGCCACGTGGTGGCAGTGCTATTGCAGCTCGCACTCACCATCACAGCCACACGGCAGAGAATTTTCCAGGAAGGCATCATCCCCTCCCTTGTCGTGCTTGCTGAGGGGTCGACGGGCCGCACTCGAGACAAAGTGAGTGCAATCTGGGCCTTTACTCTACTCTCCTGAGTTGTGCTTCACATACATTTGCAAACCTAGTGTCTGAAGTTGCACGCTCCTTCCAATAATTTCCCGCCCTCTCAACCAACCACCCTGAGCAGGCAATGAAGCTGCTGGCCCTTCTGCGTGCATGCGAGCAACAGTCACGGCCATAGCTACTGCCTGGGCACAATCAGTTTTGTGGCAACACATGTCTGAGTTGGTAACCTGTGCATCTGCGGCACCTATGGCATGGGCCTAGTGCTGACCTGACCCACACGCAGACTGACGTCGATAGACACCACCTTCGGTGCAGGTATAGTATAAACTCTGAGCCATGGAATCCTGGTAGGCTAGGATGCACTCCATGCCACATGAATGTAGGCGTGTGCAAGGAGAAGAGGTTAGGATAGAAAGTGCCAGTAGAGCTGGCATGCTTGTGAAGTCAATAGTTGTACAAAATGGATTTGCAATTTTAGCCAGTCATGTGAACCCATGTCTGCATTTGTAAGGGTTCTGCAAAAGAAGTAGAAGAGCGTTTAAATACAGTTTCATCCTACCGTACCATATTCCATTCAGCAAGTAGAATATCTGAACTGGCAAATCATATCATTTTCTTGCCTCGTTGTACCGTTGTGGGTCCATGCCGGATCTCCACGTGGCGGAGATTCAGGCTCCGCTTTAGATGCCACGTATACTTATTCAGCCACCTCATTTCCAGTGCCATGGGTGGAGCGAGGTTACAACCTCCAAGAGCAGGGGAGAGGCAGACTGGCAAGTGGTAACCCTGAGATTCACACCAATAGTCCGTTCTGCCTCAAGAACGTGGCTCAAACCACCAACCAGCATCCACATGCGCCACGGATGATCGCCAGCTCAGCCTGGCGACATCCAGATTCATTTCGCCTTCTCCCCCTGCCAAGACCTTGGAGTCGTCGCGCGGTGGTGAGGGTGAGGGGGAGAATTCGAGGCAAGGAAATCTTCCCCTGGCATGACAGACAGGCTGAAGTTGCTCACGATACTCCATAACTTCCTGCAGGTCTGCGACATTCACGCTCCCCTGCTTCGTTGCCCTGTCAACCCAAACACACAAGGCACGCGCCATGGCAACTGTGACCAGTTCAGTTGTTCTCCACAGCGCGCCATGCGCTAGAGTGCCTTCCGTCGCGGCGCAACCCTCTCTGAAGTCGGCCTGCTCTTTCTTGCCATCCAGAACTAGCCTCGTCTCCTTTTCCACACAAGCACAGAAATGCCAATCTGTGTCGACGCGAACCACGAGGTTTCAAGTTCGGGCAGCAGTTGCGGAGATCACGGAGAGCGAATTCACGGCGAAGGTCCTCGAGGCAGATTCTCCAGTGCTGGTTGATTTCTGCGCTAAGTGGTGCGGCCCGTGCCGACTGATCGCGCCTGTCATGGAGTGGGCCGCCAAGGTACGACCTCTCTCCTCCGCTCCAACTGGGCTGAATGCGTCGTTTAGGCACGCGAGGCTGCTTGCCGTGTGGTTATCCAGGTCGGATGCATTCTGATTTCGTATAAAGCAACATCTTCTAAGAACGCACTGTTTGAAGTCCAAGCGAAATGAGCACTGCATGCGTCAGTCCTCGTCCGCGCAGCATTGCCGTATGGCTCGTCTACCCAGGAAGGGGTCGCTCTCGATGCCGCAGCTTAGTTGGCACTTGTATTGTTGCCAGGTTGACGGAAGCTACCTCCCTTTCGCGCGTCTACTTGTTTTATTATTCTCCATGCCGCTTCCTCTTACGCCCCCTCCCAGCACCACGCTTGTCGACATCTATCCCACTAGCTTCGTCGGTACTCTCTGCGACACCCTTCCCCACCTCCCCACTCCCCCTCACTCCTGTTTCCCTGCCCTGCCTCTGCGCGCCTATCCCAGGAGTACGAGGGTCGGATGCAGGTGTACAAGATCGACGTGGACGCGTGTCCGAAGCTGGTGGAGAAGTACAAGGTGTACGGGCTGCCGTCTGTCGTCATCTTCGAGAAGGGCCAGGTGGTTCCCGGCGGACACATTGAAGGCGCGCTCACGTCCGCCAAGCTCAAGGGCATCCTCGCATCCACGGTGCCCGCGCTCGCGTGACGCGCGCCGCGCGAGGCCTAGAACTCCCAAGGTGGTTGCTGGGCTGCAACTCGCCCTCCATCAATATCGATTCATTCGACTTGTTTTATTGTGTTTGTGTGTTTATTTTCTTATTCTGTAATTTTCTTCAACTCCGTTTGCGTTTCAACCAGTATACGCTGTTGATGTGCAAGCATGCAATAAACTGGCAAGAGCTTACTGTTTCGAAGGCTGGCACCTGCTTCCTGAGACACAAAAGCTCCGGTGATGCAGTTTGTTGGTATTGTAGTCCCATTTCTGATTGGTGATTGATGTGATTTCTCATGCCAACACCCGCTGCAATTGTTATGAATGAACTCGCAGAGTGAGCAGAATAACGAGTAACGAGAATGGTTGAATACTGCATGACGATACTAGGAAAGTAGCGAGCCTAAATAGGGGGAAAGCTAGCTAGGCTAAGAGGTTGGGGGAGGAAGGCACGATGATGGTTGAGATTGGTGTGGAGGCGACTCGGGAGTGGTTCGGTGCAACGAAATAGGCCGAACAATTTCGTCGCGTGACCCTCTAGATAACCTCACCAACGAGTGCCTCAGTAAGGATTTGTAAATCCTTACAGCAATGGCCCCAACACAACAACTTGACACCCGACTTTCGAGCTCACAGATCCAACAGGAAACTCGCTTCTGAACATTCTGATACTCCATCAAGCAGGACCACATCTGCCCGTACATTGACGTGCAGAGCTCAATCACCACGCAGAGCTCTCCGCCATGGCTCCTTCTGAGTACTTCAACTTACTCAATGTCATGCTTAGCTCTATCAGTTCGACCATCTGAATACAGATCCGGGATCTACTCATCAAGAGCTTGTTTATGACGCCAACATTGTGTTCACAGAGCGAACATCGGTTAGTCGTAACTGCTTCTATGAAGATCTCTGTTTTTCAGGTTAAGAAACTGTTTTTAAGCTCAAGACATTCAAGTTACTCTAAGGAAGTTAAAATGGTCGGGTCAAACCGTCGCTTAAGATGGCACCGTGCAAACAAGACAGGTTCAAGACAAAGAAGCGGAAAGTGCAAGTACAAGGAGGCTGGACAACGGAACATATTTCGTTTATCTGCCTTTGCTGCGATTCATCGTCTACCAAAGAGAGAGGAAGCTCATAGTCAAGTGCGGAGACCACCTCAATCACTAGCAGGAACGATCAAGGATGGACCAGAGCCAATTTTCCATCAGATTGAATATATGACGTCGGCGGAACGGGACGTTTCACGAAATTTTGGCACGGCTCCTAGAGTATTTCAAGACGTTGACTATTTTCCTACTGGAATGTGTGAAGAAGGTTATTCCGACTTTAAGATTCTGAAGAACAGGAAGACAGAAGTCGATTCTGGAATTTTCCCTACGTTACAAGAAGCATATTTTCATTTGGAGGAAATAGATGACGCCGTCAGAGTGTTTCGGCGCCATGAATCAAGGCAAGCTACTCGAGGTGTTTTTCCCTCTGAAGGTGTTTTGCTCTCAGCTGCTCCTATCACACCGCTCACACAAGCTCGAACGACTGCAAGTGTGATTGGAAACATTCGTCGTCCCCAAGGCCCTGTCAGGCATCAACTTCTAAGCAGGGCAATTTCTGCTGTAACCCAACTCCACCAATCTCAGCAAGGCAAGGTCAGAGCCAATCGACCAAGGCTGAAGCGTCACATTCGTCACCAAGGCCCTGTTCAGCAGCAGCGACCCAGAGCTGCTTCTGTTGCAAACCAACCTCACCAGACCAGGGAAGGCAGGTTCGGAGGAGCCAAGCCACCAAAGCTGAAGCGACAAAACCAACATGAGGAATGTATCGAGATGCTTCTGCAAGTACTGAAGTGTGACAACGGCACAATAGGTTTTTGTGGCGGGCAAGCTGAAATGTTTAGGCGTTTGGTCTATAAGCCTCCGTAGAGATCTGGGAGGGTACGGTAGTATACACTACCTATGCCCTCTAGCACCGGTTACGACCGTGGTGTTTTTGCATTGTACGTGTATAGTGCATATTTCACCTACCTTAAAAAAAAAAAAACAACTTGACACCCACACTTTCCGCAACTGCAGTCGTCTGTTGTCACAAGCACCGTCAACACAGTCCACCCATACGTCACCTCTCCACACTACAAGTAACTCAGCCAAATTGACATTGTACCCTAAATAGAGACACTACAAATTGTGGCTTTCACCTAAACAATGGGGCACTGGTGACCTACCCTACCAAATGCGAGTAGCTACACTGGGACATGAAATGCCGTAGCTCAATGCAAAGTGTACACATGATGCTTCCACCACTGCCTTTTCAAGCCATCGCCTCTACCACTTTCAGCAGTGTCTTCATATACCTGAACTCTAACTTCCCTTCCCACCTGCCTGTGCCAGCATCTTCTTGACAGTCTCTATCTCCGCCAACAAGGACTCCACATCCCCTCGCATGCCTCTCAACTCCTCCCCACCCGTCTCTGCCGCATCCAGCTGCGCCTTAAGCTGGGCGGCCAGGGAGTGCATGCGGGAGGTGGCCTGCAGCACTTGCTGCTCACGCGCTGCCACGTGTGCCGCGGCATCGGCTGTCAGGTTGTCAGTGGCTACCTCCTGGACCGCCTGTGCCAGCGACGCCAGCGACTCGTCTCCACTCACCAGCCGCTTGCCTGGAACACAACACAGGCGAGGGACGAGCAGCACACGGAAAGCAAAGAGCAGCACCATTCGCAGAGCGCATGGAACGAAAGATGCAAAGATGAATGGCAAGATGGGGAAGCGAAGAAGACCGCCGCAGAAGGATGAGAGGAGAGAATGGTTGTTACAGAGGGAGTGAGAGTTGCAAGGCCAAGGCAGGAGGCAGAAGAGGAGAAAAGCCAGGGGGGTGAGTCGAAGAAGAGATGGCGGACCGAAGTGGACGAGCTGGTCGATGGTGGCCTGCGTGACGATGCTGCTGCCACGCTCCCTGAGCAGCATGAGCCCGCCCACGGCAATGCGACTGGCGGCACTGAGCTCCATCTTGCACACGTCCAGCAGGTGCTGCAGGTCCTCCTTGGTCGCCTCCACTGTCACCTGCCTCATCACACGCACAGAGACGGGGGGAGCCACACGGTTGGTTGTGCCACACAAGCCCATGCAGTCATGCTGTGGTGTGCTCATGCGGAGAGGGTAGGAGGGGGTAGGAGGGGGTAGGAGGGGGTAGGAGGGAGCACAAGGCATGGCGTGTGGCATGCGTGCAGCAAGGAGTGGGGAGGCACTGACCGGTTCCTGCACGGCCATCTGCACGCTCCTCACCACCCACGCCTCCCCCGCCTCACTGCCCGCCCCCGCCGCTCCACTGCTGCCAACACCCAATGCGCTGGCAGATGCAGTGTCGGGTGCAGCGGGCATGGACGCGAGGCGCAGCTCCAGATCCAGCCCACTGCGCGCCGATGACCCTAGAGGGCCTCCCGCTGCTGCTGCTGCACCTGGTGCTGCAGGCGCTCCAAGGGACGTGTGGTGCGGCAGGGGTGCGTCTGAGGCGGAGCGAGAGATGGGGCGCGAGGAGGGCGAGGCGGGGTGTGTGGAGAGCTCGAGGGAGGAGTCGGAGGCGGACACAGACACAGCAGAGGGGCGCACGGACGGCGAGCAGACTGACGCTTCCGAGGCGTCGAATATGCGCGGCTTGAACGCCTGAATGCCCTCCACTCGGATCTGCCACGGGCGCAGGCAGCACAGGGGAATGTGGAGGGGGTGTTGAGCGGAGCATTGCAAAGGTATATGCAAGGAGGCGTGCAGCTATAGTGCGCTGTTGGAGCAGCAGGTTGGTTTGTGAGAGTGGTGAAGGAGCAGGCGGCAGCAGAGGAGTACCAGGATGTTGGCCACGGGGCTGCTGCCGGGAGCAGGCGGGGGGCGGTGCGTGGTGCCGGTGCGGCGGTGCGCATCGTTCAAGGGGTTGCTGTGCGCGGACACGCGGAACATGCGGAATGTGGAGTGCCATGACAGGTCCTCGCGGCGCTGCACGGCGTGCGCTGTGGTGGAGGGCAGAGCCACGAAGGCCTTGTGGGCGCCCTCGAGGGCGAAGAGCCAGTCCAGCAGCTGCACGTCCACGTCCATCTCCTGCGGTAGCGCCACCTCCCATGCCGCCGCCGCTGCTGCCGGGTCCGCTGGCGGAGCTGCTGCATGGACGAGGGGAGTTGACATGGTAGAAGCCGTGTAAGAAGGAGATGTGTGTGGGAAGAGGCGGGGAAATTGGGGATTTGTGGGGTGGGAAGTGGGGTGGGAGGCATAGTGGGGCAGCGAGCATGACATGGTGGGTGTGTGAGTACGGGTGGCGTAATGAGGGCAGAAGCTGCGCAGGGTAGCAGTGGCACAGAGCAAGGGGCGTGGACACACCTGGCTCGTCGGTGCTGGAGGCGAGGAGGAAGCGCAGGGCCTCGCTGTGTTGGAGCACGTCCAGCAGGTGCACGATGTGCGCCCCCGGGCCCCCCGTGGTGCCGTCCAGCACACCAAAGCGGCGCAGCAGCACCTCGTTGTAGCTCCACCCGCCGCTCAGCCGCACCCCGCCCACCTTGGCCTCCACCGTGAGCGAGTGCGACGAGGCATCGTTGCTGTCGTATGGCAGCACATGCAGCACCGACAGGTGCAGGAACGGCAGCGCGGACGCGGAGGCGGAGGGTGAGCGCGTGAGGGTGAAGCCTGCGGCGGAGGAGGCGTCGGGTGCGCTCATGGTGCCAGTGCGCGCCAGGGCGTCCATGTCACTGTCCCCGTCGCCCGACCACAGCACCGCCCGCAAGTGCGGGGGGCCAGCACTGCTGCCGGGTGACTGCAGCCCTGATGCAGCAGCAGCTGCTGCCCCATCTGCAGTCTCTTCTGTCTCCACGCACTCCACGCGAATGCTCTGCCACGTGATGGTGGATGACGTGGCAGCAGCGCCACCCAGCGACTGGTGTGTCACCTTCATGCTCATGCCGCGCCCCACCAGCTGCGACAGCACCGCACCCTCGTCACCAGCGCTGCCGTCGCCTGTGTGGCCTGATTCCAGCATGCGCAGGTTGAGAGCGTCCACTGCCAGCGACACCGCACTGTCCCCCGGGGCCAGTGCAGCCAGCTCTGACAGCGCTGACGCCGTTCCCCCCCCTGCACCGCTGCCACCGCTGCTGCTGTTCTTGGCAGGTTGAGATGCGGAGGCAGTTGGGGTCGTGGCGGAGGCGGCATCGACGAGAGCAGAGAGGCCCTTGGAGGGGTCGGTGACGCGCTGGTTGCCCTTGCCCACCTTGACGAGCGCACGGCTGACCCGCGTGAGGTAGTCCGCCATGCGCAGCACAAACAGCAGCTGCACCCGCGACGTGTTGCACGTCACCTCCTGGCTCGCCACGCCCAGCCGAAACGTGCCGCCCGGGGGAGGCATGCGCGCGATGGGCTTGCCGTCGTGGGAGAGCAAGGCCATCTCGAGGCGCGGGTCCTTGATGCACATGCACTGCAGCTGCTGTGATGCCGCCGCTGCCAGGCGCGACTGCCCCTCAAATGACACCGGGGATGACGCCCATGCATCGTCATCATCCCCTCCACCGCCCCCTCGGGCGCTCCCTCTCCCCCACCCTGTACTGCTGTCATCACCCCCCTGGCTGTCCCCCACGTCGAGGGAGACAGAGAGCAGGTCGGCCCACACGGCGAGGCGCATCTGGCCCGCGTCCACGGGCTGCCCCGGCCACAGTGCAAAGCACGCGGCGTCACGCTCGACATCGAGCAGGTCGAAGGGCATGAACGAGTCCAGCATGGCGCTGAACCCCCCCACCTGCACGCGCGCCCCCGTGAACCGCGCCTCCTCCCCCGCTCCCCCTGTCGCCCCTGCTCCCCCTTCCCCTGCCTGGGAGGGCGAGTCAGGGTTGGCGGGGGCGGCGGCGTCGGAGGGAGAAGGCGGGGCGAAGGCGGCAGGGGGCACGGAGAGGGAGAGGTGCAGCCCGTCGAGCATGAAGAGCAGGTAGCGCAGCGCGGGCACGGGCGGGGTGCTGTCCGCCTGCTGTACCATCAGCCCATCCGCCACCAGCGATGCTATGCGGAAACATGACTCCTCCTGTAGACTGATCTGTGAGGTGGGGGGAGAGGGGGAGGTGAGCAGCAGCAGCAGCATCAGGAAGACAGGTGTGAGGTTGACGTGGCAGCCAGGTGCAAGGCCAAGCAGAGGCCAGTGTCAATGAAATGGCCCGTGCGAGCACCAGCTTTCAACAACCTGTAACCTCTTTCCCTTTCTTCCCAACCACCCCCGTCCCCAGTTCCCCCGTTCCCCCCAACGTCAGGAATGCAGCAGCGGGGGCGCACCTGCAGGGGGTCGCAGCGGATGACGAGCTGAGAGGCGACGGCGGGGGGCGGGGCGGGGGGGAGGGAGAAGGCGGAGAAGAGGCGGAACATGGAGGGCGGGGGCAGGCAGTCGTCGTCGGTGTCCACGGGGTAGATGCGCGGCCACACGTGCTCGCTGGCGAACGATGGCACGCGCTCCACGTCGCTGCTCGCGTGCTCCTGCACCGGCTGCAGCAACGCCACTGGCGGGTCCGAATACGTGTCCCTGGGGGTGCCGGGGGTGGGGAGGGGCGGACAGGAAGGCCGTTTTAAGGAAGGTGAGGCGAGAGTGTTCGGAGGGTCAAGTGCAGTGAGTGGGCGAGTAGGTGTGTGTACAACACGGAGCAAGTGCGGGACGAGTGAGTGGGAGAGAGAAATGCAGGGGTTTTAGGCGGGGGTTGCAAGGGAGTTGAGGTTGATTTGAGGAACGGGCACAGGAGAGGGGGAGTGAAGCAGGTGAAGCAGGGGCGGCAGTGGCAGAGGGGAGAGAGCGCGGGTCCATGAGAGGGTGTGAGTGGCTGACTTGAGAAAGAGCTGGCCGAGGTAGAGGCGCACCATGTTGGCCACCGTGGCACTGTCGGGCTCCGAGGCACTGCCCTGCCAGGCCACACATGCCATGCACATGTGGGATGCGTTCAGCACTCATGGATCCTGTGGCTACGGATGGTGTGGCAGCGCGGTTCATGCTGCACGCAGGGTGAGTTCGAGAGCGGGGGCCAAGTGGAAGGGCGGGAGAGGTGCGAGGCATCACCTGCACGTATTTGAGTGACTGCAGTATGAGCTCCAGCTGGTAGTCTGATGGCCATGGCGCCATGCACGCACGCACATGCCATGCACATGCACATGAAGATACATATGCGAATGCACATGCATACACACATGTCGTCCATGCAAACACATCCCATGCATGCACACGAGAGGTTGCGAAGGTGGGTGAGAGGGCATGCAGTGCGGTGCAGGTGGCAATGGTGGCGGTAGTGAGTGGGGAAACCACACTGCTGGCCGGGACACAAGTCACCGGCTCACCCAGGGCATAGGAGAGAATGCATGTGGGTGAGGGTGCTGAGCAAGTAAGAGTGTGAGGGTGTGTTTGCATCTGAGTGTGTGTGTGTGTGCAACTGCGTGTGTATGTGTCTATGGAGTGAGTGTGTGATTGCACGTGCGTGTGTGTGAGTGTGTGTGTGTGTGTGAGTGTGAGTGTGTGTGTGAGTGTGAGTGTGTGTGTGTGAGTGCAAGGGTGGCAGGAGAGCACCTTCCTCCTGGATGCGGATGAAGAGGCGTTCCAGGGTGAGCGAGATGAGCACTCGCCCTGCTGTCTCGGGACCCTGCCATGTGCACACAAGCGCGGGAGCATGTTGCATTGGCACTTGAGACGCTTTCAGAGCAAGATTACAGAACGTCATGGCAGAATGGCGAACACGCTATGGAAGAAAGCTCACACCAAGAGAGGAGGAGAGGGTGGAAGAATAAGGAAGAAGGAGGGAAGGCGGAAAGCGAGGGAGGGGTGGGCGACTGACGACTTGGCTCATGTCGGTGAGGTCGGATCGCAGCAGGCACGCGTACATGCCCGTCATGAACCGCATCAGCGCTCGCAGCCCTGCACCGCACACCACACAGTATACAGCACAAGCGGCACACACAGCATACATGGCACATAGGGTCAACTGGAAGAAACGTGTGGGCGTGTGTGGATTTGGGCATGTGAGCATATGGCATATGGCATGTGCATGTGGGCAGGGCCTTTGAGGGCATGGAGGGCATGGGGCGGGGCGTGCCTGGTTCAGTGAGCACGGGCACGTTGGCCTCTGACAGCTGCATGTCCACCTCCAGTCCCAACGGGTTGTTCAACTCCGTGCGATGCATCGTCACCTGCATGCGTGTGCACACATGCACACATGCACACATGCACACATACACACACGCACACACGCAGATGAATGGTGTTGCATGGAGAGGGCAAGTGCGCGCATGCAGTGAGATGAGGTGGTGGGAGATGCGGGAAAGGCATGCATGGCAGACGCAAGAGAGGAGAGCGAGGAGGGGGCAGGAAGGGCGCACGTAAGCCCGGCCTCGGATGTCGTCCACGAATCGCTCCCCTCCAAAGAAGGCCCGCTTGGCCCCGTCGCCATCGCGCTCCTGCCCCTCCTTGCTGGAGTTGACCTCGAGCGACGCGTGGAACATGTCGGGGTGCGGTATGAGGTCTATTGACAGCGACTCCCACTCCAACAGCTGCCATGCACACGTGCATTCATGCACCCGTGCACACATGCACCCATGCACCCGTGCGTTCATGCACACATGCATGATCCCATGCGTTCATGTAGCACATATGTTCCCATGGAGCCATGCACACATACACACAGGCACATGAGCCGGAGTGGGATGGGCATGCATGGAGGTTGGGGCTTGATGCAATGGAGAGAACAAAGGGGTGTAGCGAGTGAGCGATATGAGGCGAGACGAGGCGCAGGTGTGAATCGACATGAAGAGAGTTGGAGTTTGACAGAGGGGGACATGGTGCAGGGCAGCATGGCATGGTGGGGCCTCACGCGGAAGATGTAGATGCACTTGAGGGCGGCGAAGAAGGTGCGTGTGTCCGCCAGGTTCACCACCTGCCATGCATGTGGGCACCCGGGCACGCATGGCAGCACCGTCCGACGCACAGAGAGCGGGGGGGGGGGGGGGGGGGAGAGGATGTAAGGAGCCTAAGTGCAGCTCCGATAGTTACCCGCGATAATCAGTATACTTTAAGAAATCAGAAACTGTGTGAGTAAGCTAAAAATTAGAAAGGCTATGTGAGGAATTCGTAGAGCACCTGCCAGCGCTCGTTGGTGGTGCAGAGGCGCAGGCCCCGAATGGTGATACTGGCAATGGGGGGTATCCTGCCATGGCGCCATGCAGCACGACGCATTCCACATACAGCCTGTCATGAGACGCACATGCATGGCCGTGTGATATGTTGAGGCATAGACGCGGGGAATGTGCTTGACCCACCATGCATGTGCTTGACCCACCATGCATGTGCCTGACCCACCATGCATGTGCCTGACCCACCATGCATGTGCCTGACCCACCATGCATGTGCCTGACCCACCATGCATGTGCCTGACTGACCATGTGGCGGCATCGTGGCCCGACACATCTCTGCCGCCGCGCGTTTCAATCATGAGGTTCACCACGCCCACCTCCAACGTCATGCCGTCCGCTATCTGCACGCATGGACACGTGGGGTGGGAAGGATATGCCGCGCAGGGTTGAGGCGAGAAGAAGGCGCCATGAGTGCAGTGAGGAGGTGGTGGAGCACAGAGCGAGGCGTGCAGGAGGGCTGCTGAGGCTGCTGCCAAGAGACAGCACAAGCTAGTGAGCTAGCGAGAGCAGAGGACTAGGTGGTATGGAGTGGGCGAGGGGAGAGGCGTGCAGTGATGAATGAGTTATGGGGGATGAAGCTAGTGAAAGATACAAGAGGTATGGTTGGCTGTGAGCTGACCTTGTCCGCGAAGCCATACGATGTGCTCTTCGTTGCCAGTGCACTGCCACCCACATGCACACCCCCCCACACACACACCCCACACATGCACACAGACAAACACAGAGACACACATTCCCAATGTATGTATGTCAGGAAGCCATGCGTGAACACAATTAGTAGATAGTGCAAGTGCGGTGGCCGTGGGCAGGTGGACTGGGGACATGGTAGGCTAGGCACGGCAGGTGTGGCAACGATGGTGACACATGCAGCAGTGCTGGTGCACCGCACAAGGCAGCGAGGGACATGCGGCGGAAGAAAGAGCACAGCAGAGGAAGACGGAAGGGAAGCGAGGGGGGCAGGGAGAGGGAGCGGTGCCAGTGCAGTGGGGGCAAGGCAGAAGGGCACAGACCCCGGGGAGGAGAGGGGGGCCTCGTGGGGAGCAGTCTCGCGCAGCACGAGGTCGAGTGTGGAGATGGCGACCACGGTGGGCTCCTTGTTCACCAGCGACAGCGCTGGCAGCTGCCGCACCATGCACACACGGGGGCACGGAGCAGACGTTAGCGAGGGGGATGAAAGGGATGTGGACTGGGCGCCATGAATGTATAGTGGCATGACACATGCCATGTGGCGATTGGGAGCAGGAATTTGTGTGATGAAGGGAGACAAAGTGTGAGCGTGAAAAGGAGGGAATGGAGAGGAAATGAAAGAGATTTTTTCGAAAAGCGGAGGAGTGAGAGAGAGAGAGCCCATAAAGAAATGAGCTGGACATGTCACCCATGAGGCATGAAACCTGATATGGCGCATGGGCATGGCATGTGACATGGCAGTACCTTTATTTCCAGCTTGGCCACATGTGCCTTTGCCACTCGCAGGGTGGATGGCAGGCCGATGATGGAGTGCAGCACATCGCCATTCAGGTCTGTGGAACATGCATGGACGTCCATGCAAATCCTCCCATGCACATCCACCAGCATCCATGCACACACAATCATGTACATGCATGGATACCCATCCATGCACATCCATGCACATCCATGCACATCCATGCACATCCATGCACATCCATGCGTATCCATGCGTATCCATGCGCACATGCATGCAAATCCTCCCATGCACATCCATCACAGTGCATCATACGTGGACATGCATCAGCGGGGAGGCGCACACACGTCATGTACCTTACCTCCGCCATGCATGTGCTGCGTCTGTAAACGTGGCAGTAAGAAATGTCAGTGGAATGCGGGAGTGGAATGCGTCGGTGGAATGTGCGAGCGGCAATGACGAGGAAGACGGGCACGATTATCTGCCATGACATTGCTGTCAATGCGCCATCACACATCGCCACACGCCGGCGCCATCTCACTAGAATGAAACTCCGATGCGCCTTATTTCCAGATCGCAACGGTCGTGGCCCGTCGAATCGAAGCCAATATTCCAAGGCGGATCACCTCCCTGCTCGCCCAATGCGCCTCTGCGTGCTGCTGCCAGGCGCCGCGGCTTACCGAGGTTGGAGAGCTCCACGGTGCGGCCTTGCAGGCGAAACTGGTCGCGCGTGTACGAGCGCAGGTAGTACTTGAGTTTCGACTCCAGCGCCTTCGCCAGAAGGGTCTCCATTTGCGCTCCGCGCTGCGATGCGCGCAGCGTGTAGGAGCTGGAAGTGTGTCGGTGGGGAAGATAGCGTCTTGCCAAAGAAAAGGGATAGTGTCTGCAGGTTTTACGGGACGGCCCTAATACTGAGGGTGCTAGATGCTGAGGGTGACGGGGGTTTGAATGGATTAGAGAAATGATGAAAGAATGGTGTGGCTGGCATTTGGCATGTAGGAACATACTCGCCAAAGAGAACTGCACTTCTAGTAAATAGCGAAATAGTTTACAAGTCAACGAAGCCTGATATACACGAATTGGTTCGGCGTATTCGTTCACACCACCAAACTCGCCTCCACCTCTCCGAGGCGGACAGTTACAGGGGAGTGTGGCTGGGCGATCTCGCGAAACTCTCGTCGTCCCTCACTCAACGAGGTGCAAGCCAAACCAGGCTGGAGCCACAACCTGGTAATCTCGAGAGCGAAAGCGTCGCCATCCAATCAGCGCACGCCGTGGACGTCACTGCTCTACAGTACATGGCTGCTGGCCTTGGGGGGTAGCACACCCACCCAGCCTTGTGCCTGCATGATGCGTCGGCTGCTCCGCTCTCCTCGCACCCACCCATCTCAAGGCAGGATGTTCCAAATCAAGGCAAACTGGAAGCACCAGATCCAATTCCACCACCACTGGCGATGTGCTGCTTCAACCGAGGCGTTCTTTCTAACACACTGCTCCACACATTACCTGGCCAACGTCGCACAACCGTTTTATAAAATTGTAGCCTCGTAGCGTTTTCTTTCTCGCCGATAGACTGCAGCGATTCTGGCCATGGCGCTCGGCTCGGTAGGGTGGCGGAGCATGATAGCGCGAGTAATACTCTCGCTGGTGCTCGCGAGCACCGTATTAGGTCTAGAGGTTCCAAATAGTCAACAACCTCTCGTCTTGCCTCTAAGTTACGGCCAGTTCGCTCCGTCGCAGCGCCTCTCCGGCGTGTCGCCGTTCCGTCGGAAGCTGTCCGAGGCGCGCATGTGGCTGTACGGCAACGTTCTCACGCAAGGGTAGGGCCTCGGGACCAGCTTGAGCCAATTCTTGCGGTGCTCGCTATACCTGCACTCTGCCCAATTCTCGCCGCAATCCACTCTGGTCATGCAGCCAGCCCGCTCTTTTTTCGCGCACCGTGCTCATATTTGCCCGGCTCTACCCTAATTGCTTTTCATCCACCTGCGCTTGTTTCCCTCATGGTTTCCACCCGCGCCTTCCGCGTGTCTGTCGGTCCTCATCCTCTCCCCCCCCCCCCCCCCCCGTGCGTCCCCGCAGCTACTACTACGCGAACGTGTGGTTCGGCACGCCGCCACGGCGGTTCGCGCTGATCGTGGACACGGGTAGCACCGTCACGTACGTGCCGTGCGGCTCGTGCAAGCAGTGCGGCAGCCATCATCAGGTCAGTGCCGCTTTGGTTTCTAGGGTTAGGCGTGAGAGGCGGCGAGGCGCGAGCATGGGATCCGTGGTTGCGTGCAAGTCTTGACACCATTCCGCGTCTTACCCTCCCTCCCCCCGCTGTCGCGTCTCTCCGCGCGTGCGTGCTTGGCGCAGGACGCGCCGTTCGTGCCGCGCAAGTCGTCGACGTACGAGCCGGTGGGGTGCAACGCGGACAAGTGCCCCACGTGGGAGTGCGAGAGCGAGTCGGTGTGTTCGTACGAGCGGCACTACGCGGAGAACAGCAGCAGCAGCGGGCTCATCGTCTCGGACATGGCGTGGTTCGGCAACACCTCCAACATCCCGCCCACGCGCGTGCTGTTCGGCTGCGAGACCAGCGAGACGGGCGACATCTACTCGCAGCAGGCGGACGGCATTCTCGGCATGGGCAGGGGGCCGCTGGGGCTCGTGACGCAGCTGGTGGAGCGCAAGGCCATGCGCGAGGTGTTTTCGCTGTGCTACGGCGGCATGGACGCCAACGGCGGCGCCATGATGATGGGGTTCACGCGGCCGCCGCCCGGCATGAAGTTCACCTCGCTCACCCAGGGGTGCGTGCCCAAGCTCCCCACCCACTCGCCTCTCCAAACTTCCCAAAAAGCTCGTGATGATCGTCGCTTGCAGTGCGATTGAGACCGGTCACCGGTCTCACATCTGCCACACCCTCCGTCATCCCTCCCCTGTGTGCGTGTGCGTGTGTGCGTGCGTGGGTATGTGCATGTCTGTGTGTGCTTGATGGTGGGCGAGCAGGCAGGGCACGTACTACAACGTGGAGCTGAGGAGCATCGTCGTGGCGGGCACGGCGCTGCCACTGGACGAGGCGGTGTTCCAATCCGGCTACGGCACCGTGCTGGACAGCGGCACCACCTTCGCCTACCTCCCACCCGCCGCCTTCAACGCCTTCAAGAAAGCGGTGCGCTGCTGCCATGCTGCCATGCTGCTGCTGTTGGCGCCCCCGCGCTCGTGCACCTTGGAGGAGGGGTTTCCACTCCCCCAATGCCTGGTCCTGCAGCCTCGCCGTGCTCTTGCTGCATCTCAACATCTTGCCGCCACACCCGCTGTCATTGCCGCATGCAAGTGCCCCCTGTCTCCCGTCCCTCCCCTCGCGTTGGTACCGGGTGCGCGCAGATGGCGGAGGAAGTGAATGGGCTGCGCCCCGTGCCTGGGCCTGACGAGGCGTACGAGGATGTGTGCTTCAGTGGCGCCACCGAGTGAGTCTTGTGCCCGCACACGCGTGTGTGTGCTAACCAAAGAGCACACACACACACACACACACACACACACACACACACACACACACACACACACACACACACACACACACACACACACACACACACACACACACACCTGCACGGATACGAACGTCTCAATTTTACCCGTGCTACTACACCTACATGTGTGTTACCAGCTCACACTCTTTCAACCCAGATCCATATCCCCACAGCCTCCCTCCCTAAATTTATCTCAGTGCCAATCTGTTCCTCCACCCATCCGTGCCCCCCTTTGCTTCTCATGCCCCTTACCACTTTCTCCCCCACCCATGCCTCTTCTCCCTCCGCCCCAATCCGTCCCCACGGCCTGTGCAGGGACCTGGCGGAGCTGAGCAACTTCTTCCCGCCCGTGACACTCAACCTGGGCGGCGATGTGGCATACGAGCTCAGCCCGGAAAACTTCCTCTTCCGCGTGAGCCCACATATCCCCTCTGCTTCCTCTCCTCCCTGCGTATCTGAACCCCCGCAAGCTATGTCGTGACCTTTCAAACCCACCACCCCCTGCATGTCTTCACATCGTTCCGTCTTCCTGACTCGCAACGCAATCCACTAACCACCTCCATGTGTTGTGCGCATGCCCTTCTGTCCTTGTGTGTGTGTGTGTGCGTGCATGCGTGCGTGTGTGTGCGTGCATGCATGGAGCAGCACACCAAGGTGAAGGGCGCGTATTGTCTAGCGCTCTTCGCCAATGCGGACGAGGGCACTCTCCTTGGAGGTACGCCACACCTCGCATGCACCCCGCCTCTCCACCATCTCCTCCCTTCCCGCCCAGCAGCCCCATGCATGCAGGGCATACAGTGCACCCAGCAGTGCTCCCCAGCTGCCTCGCACACAGCTGGACAGCTGATGCACACACATGCCTCGCACATGGCCTCTCCCCCACCTTCACCAGCCCCTCGCTGCCATCGTCTCTGCCATGACCCGCCGCCCTCCACCCCTTGGTTTCTCAAGTCAGTTTGAACTGGCTGCGTCCCACAACTGTATACCGTCACTCCTTTCAACCGCCCGCCCCTCCTTCCTCGCCACCCCCCCCTCCCCCCCCTCATTCCTCCTTCCTTTCGCCGTGTGTGGCACGGCGTGCATGGCTTAAGGCATCATAACGCGCAACACGCTGGTGACGTACGACCGCGCGCGCAGCCGCGTGGGGCTGTGGAAGACGGACTGCTCGCACCTGTTCTCCCAGCTGCACGCGCTGCAGGGCTCCAACGCGCCGCCCCTCGCTGACGAGCTGGTGGAGCAGCCCCCCCCCCTGCCCGACTCGGCACACCTGCCGCGCAACGCATCGGACACCTCGGAGGACTCGCTCTTTGGTGCGCTGGGTGGGGGCACAGTGCATAGGGGAACGCACGGGCACAGGCACGGACTCATGGGACAGCAGGCAATGGGTGGGATGGGTTCTGGAGACAGGGGCCAGTAAGGCCTGGCCAGCATGCAGTGGCGACGCTTTGCTTTGCACGGGGTGTAGCATGAGGTGCACTGCATGGTTGTTGTGTCTGCCATGCGCCATGCACCTGGCACCTCATTACCCTGACAACGCATGTACCATTCTGTTCTGCCTCGTGTCTCCCGCTAGGATGCACGCTGCACACTCGCCCCTTGTCCCTCTTAGCCCCGCCCTGCCTCCCAATCACTTGCCCGCTGCCATTCCCCTTGTGGCATGCATGGGTGTGCGTGCGCAGATGAGTGTGAGGACTGTGCGAGCAGCCTGCGTGTGGAAATGCGAGTGCCGCTGCCCCTGATCGACTTCGCCCCGCTCGTGCCTGACTTCGTGCACGCCATGGCACAGGCCCTCCACCTGGAGGAGGTGCAGGTGCGCCACACAGGGGTAGGGGGGGAACGAGGAAGGGGAAAGGGAAGGGAACGGGCAAGTGTGGGTTGGGAATGAAGGAAGGTAGGAGAAGAAATGGCAGGGAGCAGAGGCACAAGGACGTGGTGCATGTGGCACAGGCACAAGCACCGGGTGAAGGTGCTGGGAGTGCAGCTTGGTGGAGTGTGCTCGTGCTGCTCTCATTGTCATGCCAGCTGTGCGCTGCATGCGTGTGTTGCACATGCCCGTGTTTCTCTCCATGCTCGATGCGCCCTTGATGCCGTAACCTGCTCCCCATGTGCGTGCATGCCATGCGCCCCGCGTGCCAACAGGTGTCAGTGGATAAGTTTGTGGAGGTGCGAGCAGCAACAGCGTCGTCCCCTGCAGTGACGGGCGTCAGCCTCTTGATCCTGCCGCTGCCACCCGATGATGTCCTCCCTGCTGCTTCCGTTGAGGTGCCTGCCCGCGCTCCACTC